CTCCTGTGATGACAGAAATACCCAGTTACATCTCTCTTTTAGACGGTTCTCTCCCTCCTCTGTTTCAGTGCAGTATACATTATTGAACCCATCTTACTCATTCTCTCCCCAACCCCAAGGACAGTCCCATTCTACAACAGTAGCATCATGTAATATTTGTCCTTTTGTGACTGGGAGTTGCTGTGGTTTTTGATGCTTGCAATTTCAAAATACATTTGAAGGATATAGTTCACCTCCTGTAGCCTGATAGAATTGGTCTAGGGCCAAGATAGCAATGGGTATGATGGCTTAAAATAAAGGATAGTTGTGGGAAAGAATGAAATTGATGTTTGACTTTGCCTTTGGCAGATAAATATTAAATGACCTGCGTAAACAAAGAAATGTATAATTTAGAGATTGTGACTTCACAAGTGAATAATCTATACTCTTCCTACCTAATGTTTCCGTGTTTGGGGACTTTTCCTCCATTGTTGTTAAGTGCTATCAAGTCATGTCTGGCTCCTAATGACCCTGTGTTTAACAAAACTAAAATAAGCACTGCCATCTTCACAACCTCTGCTGTGCCTGTTGCTGCATATTTTGAATGCTTTCCAACGTGAAGACCTCATCATCCAGCTCTGCATTAATGGTCCACTGCTATTCAAAGGATTTTTGATGGTCCATTATTTCAGAAGTGAATTGCCAGGCCTGTTGCCGAGTCTTTACCGGGAAGTTCTGCTGAAACTCATTCACCATGAGTGGCCCTACTAGTATTTGAAATACCAGAGGTTGTAGCTTCTAGCATAACAGTAGCCCTCCAGCAAACTAACAGGAAGGTGGTGGTTTCCTCCATTAGGTACCTGTTTCCACTCAGTAAAAGATTATGAAAAATGTGTAGTTGGAAAATGGAATTATCATTAGTTTCTATTTGATTCCTTGTGGCTCATGTTTCAGGCAAACAATCAGCCTAGAAGATGAACAGTAACACCTATCAGCCATTAAAAGATTAAAGGGCAGCACTTACTGAGAAACAAAGCTCAGAAGGCAGGAAGGAGTAGGAAAGCAGGGAGAGTAGAAGCAGTTCATGGGGGGAGAAGAATGCAGTTACATTGTGGGAGCTGTGGTCAGTGTCACAAATTAAAATGTGTATGAGTTATTGAATGGAAGGCCCAACTTGTTCATCCTGAAATTATTTGTAGGAAATAATTGTTAACAATTGACATTTGTTAATTATCTAAATAATACGACAGAGCCTGTGCAAAATCATGGAGACGTAGTTATGCATTCAAGTGCTCAGCTGCTCTGTGGGATAAAGTTAGTCTCCTTTTTATAAAACGAAATCTTTACAGCCTTGCAAACCCTATGAGCTGGTTCTACTCTGTCCTGTGGGGTAGCTATGAGTCAGAATTAACAGCAGTTGATTTGGCGGGTACATGGTGGAGTATTGCGGGTTTTTTATTAATATGCTTCCATATTTTTTTATAAAAAATATTAAATACAGACGTTAAAGCACCCAACAGTTAACTGAAAGGACAACAGTTCTAACCTCCTACCTACTTACTGCATGCAAGAAAGAAGTGATAATCTCTATCAGATTACTTACATTGGGGACCCTATGGAGCAGTTCTTTACCCTCTAGGATGCTGTAAGACATAATCTACTTGAGAGCAGTTCCATTTGGTTGTTGTATTTTGTTTTTCCCCAGCTCTGGTGGCATAGTTGGTAGTGAGTTGTACTACTAACCTAAAGGCTGCTTGTCTCTGACAGTTCTAATCCACCAGCAGCTCTTTGGGAAAAAGATGGGCAGTCTCCTCCTCCTTGCTATTTACAGCCTTGGAGAGCTGATGGGGGGGTCCCTATGAGTTGGAACCAGCTGTACGGCATTGAGTTAGTTTGTGCTAGATGTACTTATACACATGTATATAGAAAAAAGTTTATCCCCCTAAGAGCTCAGAGAAGATAGTGTTATCTAGCTTACAGATAAGAAACCTGGAGCTTCTGAAGTTACCTAAGTTGTAGCAAGTATGGTTAGTTCTGACTAAACACGTCTAATTTCAGTCAGTGCTTTTGACTTCACTGCATTATTTTTGATCTTCTTAAAAGCTATTCACTCATGTGCATTTCTGAATTAGGATTTTAACTCAGATTATTCCATCCCAAAAGATGTTGCCAAGTACAAAGCTACTACCATTAGTTTGTTACATCTTTGGTTTTTTAATATTTATTTTTCTTTCTGCTTAATAATTACTACTATATAGTTCATGGTTGGTGGGGTGTTTGTGTGTTGCTTTCCTGCATGTATTTGTGAGTTTTAAACATGTTTAGACTATCTTTCTTTATAAGCAGACATATCTTAAATCTCCTTAATGCACCTCCGTATTCATTATCATGTCTTTGTTTTTCATCTTAAAACCACCTTCTGGACACTTTCTAAGATATAATTTCCTGCCCTCATAATCACACTGTAAGCGAGTAAGCCTCACTTTTAGAAACAATGTATGGAGAAGTTCGAGATCTTCTGTCTTCAAAACAGACTAAACTACCATAGTTTTCTTTTTCTTTTTCTTTTTTTTTTATAGTTTTCTAAATCTTTATTTGAATATGCAGGTCAGTTCCCGTTTGGTACTGTTCTCTCAGTAATTTCACTTAGGACCATTAGACAGGTTGAATGCATTGTGCATTCATAAGCTCATGGGAATAAAGAGAAATATAAGATGTACTTGTCCCATAGACACAGAGGTTAACCTAGTTAAGGAAGCACAAGAAAAGATACCTAGTAACAAAGTATTAAGTGCCACATAGTCAGAGGATAAATTATCCTACTTAAGTCATCTAAAGCAATTGACTTAATTAGACTATTAACTAGGCGTGATATTTCAGAGAGAGCAAAAGTTGAACATGTATGTATGTTCGGGTGAAACAGACATATTCAGATATTTTTGAGATAAAGCCCTAGACCAGCTTAACTGGTCAGTTTGGGTATGTTGCATAAATCTCTTAAACTGGCAGCAGCATTTACACTAAACTTCTGTCTTATGTCTATGAGAAATAAAACAAAAAAATATTAACTTAGTCATCATCAGGTTATGCCAGTGGAGTTGACAGTTTTACTAATTAAAAGTACAGTGGGGCTCTGGTGACCTAGCAATAAGCAGCTGTTTGTACTGCAGTCCCAAAGATATGCAATTCAGATCCACCAGCTGCACTGTGTTACTGCCTCTGAAAACCTGCTGAAGGATCTGTCAACTGTGGGTCAGTTCTGACTAGACGACATACATCAGCAATAGTTAAAAGTACAGATAATCCTTTGGGATTTTACAGTGTTACACAGTGTACAGAATATTTTTATATTAATCCTGATGGGAAGAATATTGAAAATTTTCTCTTTACTTGGTGTATTTAGAAGAGGTAGTGGTACTAGGGATATTATAGCTAATGTTAGATGGATCTTGGCAGAGAGTACCAGAGGAATGTCTGCCTGTGCTTCATGAACTGTGCAAAGGCTTTAGACTGTGTGGATCATAACAAGCTTTGGCTAACTCTGAGAAGAATAG